GTGAGAGAGAGAGAGAGTGTGTGCTTTTATCGCATGTGAGTGAGTGTGTATGTGTCAATTAAAAGAGAAAAGAAAATAAAAAATGGAAAAACCCAAAACAGAGCCGTATTGACACTGCAGGATGCTCATGTTCAGCAGACACACTGGGATCATATTCTGACTGTTAACTGCTTCATTAAGCCCATCATCACAGCAGTGCTCGCAGAGAGACTAGTGAAACAACATGTGTCCATCCTCACAGCTGACCCAGGAAAGCCATTTAATTGACTGAATGAACATGCAGTAACTCTTTATATCGAGTCTTATTTACAGATGCTAATTCTGTGTTTTGTGGTATAACCCCATGAACGCAATAATTGATTCCAAGTACAATAAAAAAAACACAGCTACTTCTGTAACAGAAGAGATGTAAAAATTCAACATGATTTCAGAATAAACCCATGCGTAAAAGTTGACGACAAACTTTGACAAGCCCTCTGGAGAATGAAAACTGTTTCTCTAAATGACTGACTGCCTATTCAAATGAGAAGTTGTGCAGAGAAAGAAATAAAGGAGTAATTTGAGGGGAGATTATAGAAATATTACAGACAAAAAAGAGAGTAATAATGAAGTTTGCGAACTAGAGCCGTGTTGCGACAGATAAACAGCAAGTCGGCGTCATCATCTCCTAATTTCATTCCTTCATTTGGACAAACATAAGTAATATATAGCATTAATTACCCTATTTAGCAGATAGGAACCTCATTGGCTTTTTAAATGCTGCATTAAATACATAACTCATCTCTTCCCTCTGCAATTAACATCAGAACATCACACTCATTTCCATTTTAATGACTTCCCAACAATACGCCACCTTTGATGATAAGGCAACATAATGTCAACTTCATTCTGGGCTGGCAGTGAATGTGTAATGAACTTAACGTGATCATTAGTGCTGTTAATTATCTTTCTAATATGAGGACACAGATATGATTATGGAAACTGCATTCGCTGATGAAATAAATCTCTAGAAGGATTGCACTGAAGCTTGACTGAGGACACAGTCTGCCTATCAGTCTCTGTATTCTCATTCATTACCTACAGTAGGCTTTTAAAATCATTTTTTTGTAGAAAAGTAGATATCTGAGACTCGGAAACTATGCTCAGTGTAGAAATACATTAGTATGGATCCAATGACTGAAAAGAGACTCCCTACAAGCGCATGCATTGCCAACCAAAGGTCATAAGTTGATGATCCAGAAATTAATT